ATTGATGCAAAGCATCCATAGCATTTTTTGGGACTATACCAACCATAGTTAATATACCATAGTTGCATTCAGCTAATAAAGCATCATAAGATACTTGAACATCTTCATGATAAAAATCTGCTAAATATTTTATTTTATTTCTATCACCATCTGAAAAAGGTTGGGAAGGTTTTTGTGGTAATAATATCTGCAGATTGCAAAGTGCTGCCCTATTAATTAAAAACCGTTCATTTATTTGTGTTATAAATGTATCTAAAAGAGGGATAAATAGATTTATTTTATAATATTCTGTGAAGATGTACCATAGAAAAATGACAATTGTCATAATCATCATTTTAAAAGTTTTCTAATTTTTTTAACGCGAGTGGGTAAAAATATAGATTGTAAACATGTCATTGGCGTACGTAGCGGGGGGGGGGCAGGGGGACAAATCCCTCCCCAAAGCCAAAAAATGCAGATGCCGGATATATTTTTCAAAAAAATTATTGTCTATATATTAATATTATTTTTATTATCTTTATTCATATATCTTTCATTCAAATATATATTTAATTACATTTATTTACCACAATCATTTACGAAGTTATTTTATCAATTAATTTCAATTTCAAGTTTTCCTTAATATTTATCTCCTATTTTCAAATTTTTACCGGCAAAATATTTATCTACCATTTTTTTCTAGTCAAATAATAATTATGGACATAAGAAATTTTTTTAAAAACACTAATGATGATAAAGATTCTAGTCATCCTCATCTTATAAAAAAGCAAAAAGGTATGAGTAATTTTATAACATATTTTTATTATTTTCTTTAAGTAATTAAAACCCCTGCCATAATAAATACAAATAATGAAATAATTGTTGGAAGAATAATTGAGAGTCAGGATATAGAGCCAAAGCCATCAAAAAGGTTATTCTAAATAAAGATTTTGGCTTTTTTAAAATAATTTTAATGAATTATACTCATAAACTTATAACTAAAATCCTTAATAGAGTACAATGATCATCTATATGATATAGCCAATTTTTTGGATAAAGATAATATTAGCCTAGAAGAAAGTCATTTACTTCGATAAGATACCTAAGATAAATAATTTATTTAATTTAATAATAGATTTATATTCCACCCCTCAATTTTCAATATCCACAAACTGTGTGTGCTAATAGAAAGTTAAAATTTCAAAACAGCTATTTTACTAGATGGTTATGGCTAGCATACTCTATCCGTGACAATGGAGCTTATTGTAAGATATGTGTCCTGTTTGGTCCAAGATATGCTGGAAGAAATTTGGTTAAGCTTAATAGCCTTGTTAAGACTCCATTTAACAGATACAAGATGCTGGAGGAATTTTTGATAATCATCAAAAAACAAATTATCACAAAAGTTGTGAACTTGATTTCCTCAAAAGAATCAATTCAAAGTGGGGATATGATTCCCATATCATCACATATTGATAAAAGTAGGATTACTATTGCAAAAGAAAATAGATACAAGATAAGACTAACTATTGAGGCTATTCTATATTGTGGGTTGCAGGGATTAGCATTACGTGGCCATTTAGATTCAGGAAGCCTGAATTTCAATAATAATGATAACGAAGGTAATTTTCGTGGCCTTATAAAATTTAAAGCATTAGGAGATTCTGCATTAATGAAGAGCATTAATAGTAGTAATAAAAATGCTACATATCTTAGCCCTAGGATCCAAAATGAAATAATTGATGTTTGCAATAATATCATTCTAGAAAAATTGATTACTGAAATCAATTCTGCCCCATGCTTCTCAATTTTGGCAGATGAGACCACAGACATTGCTGGCATTGAGCAGATGTCACTTTGCGCACGATATATAGACACTCAAAATAACATTATAAAAGAGATGTTTCTTCAATTTATACCAGTTTCTAGCATGACTGGGTCTGCCTTAGCTGATGTAATATTTAACAATCTTGAAAAATTCAAAGTAATAATTAATCACATTATTAAAATTATTTTTTTCAAAAATATAGCTTAATATAAATTTGATACGTGGGCAAGGGTATGATGGAGCTCGTGCAATGAGTGGGCAATTCAATGGGCTTCAGGCATTTATAAAAAAAATGCCCAACAGCCATATATGTTCATTGTGCTGCTCATTCCCTCAACCTGGCTATATCTGATGCATGTTCTTTGCCATTGATATCAAATTGCTTAGGTATAATTTTATTTATTTCAATTAAATTTCTTATATTTATATAAGGAAAAATATCTAGCATCTATGAGATGTTTACAAGATGGAGCCTTCGCCATCAAGCTGTGACTTCTTTTATGGAGTTAGAAGAGCCAATTATTAATGCTCTTACCGAAATCTCACAATGGTCTGAGAGAGACATTTCTACAGAGGCTAGCAAATTATTAGATTCTATATTTATACCAAATTTTTTTTCTCATTACAATGTATTAATAAATTATTTAATTATACAACCATTTTATGCAATACTTTTCAAAAACCCGATATTGAGATGATGAGAATAGCAGAGAGTATTTTCATAGAACTCAATGAAATTCGAGCTAATGTTGATGAAGAATTTCATATTTTATATGTTATTGTTGAGTCAAAAGCACAACAATATGAGTTTAATATTTGTCTCCCACGACTTGCGGCAAGGCAAGCTCATCGCCCAAACATTAATATAGGGTCAATCGAAGAATATTATAAAATAAATCTATTTATCCCTCTTTTAGATACATTTATAACACAAATAAATGAACGGTTTTTAATTCATAGGGCAGCACTTAGCAATCTGCAGATATTATTACCACAAAAACCTTCCCAACCTTTATCAGATGGTGATAGAAATAAAATAAAATATTTAGCAGATTTTTATCATGAAGATGTTCAAGTATCTTATGATGCTTTATTAGCTGAATGCCAACTATGGTATAAAAGATTAACTATGGTTGGTATAGTCCCAAAAAATGCTATGGATGCTTTGCATCAATTCAATCATATTTTAGATTATTTTCCTAATATATTAAAATTATTATACATATTAGCAACTATTCCCATTAGTACTGCAACTAATGAGAGAACATTCTCTTCTTTGAGAAGAATAAAAACCTACCTAAGAAGTACAACTTCTGAAAGTAGATTGAATGGTTTGGCCCTATTGAATATTCATAGGCATTTGACGCCAAACATGGATGAGATAATTGAAAAATTAGCTCTATCCCAACGAAGATTGGATTTTACCTTATAAATATATTATATGCTTTTATATTTTTTTGCAATTTTATAATTTTAATCTAAAATATGTTTGAATTGATGCAAAGCATCCATAGCATTTTTTGGGATCCAAAAAAGATTGGGAGCAGTTGCTAAGTGCTGCCCTATGAATTAAAAATAGTTCATTCACAAAATACAATAATACCTAATAAACTTATTTATATTTACAACATTTATATATAAATTTTAAAGGCACAAAAAATTTCTACATTTATTTTATAGTTATTCATATGCCGCCGGTTATATCCGTTTAATATTTTTTTAATTCACATTTATTTTAAAGTTTTTTATATGCCTATTTATATATTTTAAAGTTTTTTATATGCCTATTTATATATTTTAAAGTTTTTTATGTACTGGTTTATATATTTTAAAGTTTTTCATATGCCGGTTTATATATTTAATTTTTATAATTCACATTAATTTAAAATTGTGTATTAGAAATAGTTATTAGTCCTAATAAATTTATGCTTCATAATTTTAAATAACAAAAATTTATTTAAAAAAATTTTAATTATCCCCCCCACAGCAAATTCCTGCGTACGCGCCTGTGTTTACAATATATATCAAAAATAACAATTATGACAATTTTCACTTTTCACTGAAATTTTGTTTACAATTTATAATTTTAACCTGTTCCTTCAAAGAAAAAGAAATTCAAAAAATATTAAAAATAACTTATATATGACTCATATAGTTATTTTAATGACAAATTCTCACTTTACTTCTATTTTTTTTATCTTCTGATTAGTCGACTAAATTAGTCGTTGGTTTTAGTCGACTAATTAGTTGTTTTAGTCGACTAAATTATTCGTTTTTAGTCGACTAAATTAGTCGTTTTTAGTCGACTAATTTAGTCGCTAAAGTTTTTAGTCGAATTTTTCGACTAAAACTATTGGTTAGTCGTCTGTTAGTCGACTACATTTAGTCGATTAACAACACTAGATTAGACTAATTTCTTTGAAGAAGAAGTACTTAGAAATTGTTAGTAAAATGCCAGTACTTAGAAATTGTTAGTAAAATGCCACTTCTCTTGAAGCAACTAACTTGAGGCCGGAATCTGATTGTTGCTTATGGAAGTTACTGTTTTCCAGTATTTTTAAATATTTTGATCATCACCTCACCACCTTTTAAAATGCCTAATTCTTGTAATATATTCTATTAGATTCACTTCTAGTAAGATGCTCCCCTTGTTATTGGGAACCCAATAAATAAGCAGCATTATGATTACATATATTTATATCGTTTTTTCTTTTTTTCAAACATATTTTTAATTTTTTTTTCCAGATTTTTTTAGAGTATTTGACTGTTAAATACTCCTCCTATTAATTGACCGACTTTCCAACCCTGAATAAAACATATTGTACCAAATAAACAAACAGATAGCAACTTATTTTATTTCCTAAATTAATTTTTATTCTTATTTTGTATACAACCATTTTATAATAATTATATATATGTGCATTCTTATTTTGTATAAGTTTATGCATATATACATATAAATATAATAAAATTATCTGAAAATAATATCACTGTTTGCTGAACTGTGAATATAACAGATGTTAAAAGTTTTTTTAAAAAAAGTAAAAAATATAAAGGATGAGCAAAAATCTTGGTCTTAACCGTGTCCAAATTAGACAGATTGACTGGATGAGATGAAGCAATGGAATGTCAAGAACCCATAATAACGGGTTAAACATAAAAATTAATAAATTAATTATATAATATTTTTTACTGAACGGTTTATTTCCTGGTAACTTGTCCTTATCATTTGTATACTCTGAAAACAATTTTAATTTAATATAGTCATTTTATAATGTAATTATTTTATCTAACTGAATTCTTATTTTTTTTAAATTTAAATTATTCATCAAACTCAAAATGATTATAATTTTTTCAAAAAATAAGAAAAAGACTATCGAATTAGTTTTTCCTAGAAGACACTCACACTCACCTCTAGAGACTGATGCTTGAAAATCTTTTATCGGATGTTTCAACAGAACCCATAATTATTTTACCCCCTCATAAAAATTTCTCGCTCAATTCGTCAAGTCCACTCAAAAAAAATCTTTTTGCCTAGGTCGAGTTTTGGGCTGCACCAACCTCTACACATCATATCTTCTTTATTTCCATTTATATATCAATCCCATAAATTTCACTCCCTCTACTCAATTTCTTTTAATATAATAAAAGAATGGTGTATTTACCAGTGATCCTATTATGAGATGGGTCTTGATTCCAATGCTCCTGCAATCGCTTCTGCTCAATCTCCAATCTTCGTTTATCCTTTTCAAGTTTTTTATTCATCCGCATGGCCTCCTGTTCTTTGCGTTCCTTCTCTTCCATTTTACGAAGGGCGTCTACAAACAATATATATTTTATTTTTAAATCATGAATAGGCATGAAAGTTCTTAAAAGATATAAAAGAAAAAGTATCCATACATACACATTTAAAAAAATAACATATATATAAATTATACAAAGTGAATAAACTATAATGGCGCAAAAATTGTAGTATAATAAATGATATATACTACTAGATTGGACATTCATTAATTAAAATTAAATATAGGAGGAAGCTGTAGAGCCATTTTGTGGTTTACACATTAATTTTCTTATTCGTCATTATATTGATGCATACATTCATGCCATTTAATAGGCGTGCAACCCACTAAACACTTTTAAATGCATTTAATGCTAGAATCGCCAATCTCGTTGTATGTACACATCATTGACTAGTAAGCTTGGACATATTCGTTTTTCCCTAATTCTAGTTTGCTTCACATAACAATATTTAGTATAAAAAACATTTTCTTTTAAAATTAAAATAATTTTACCTGTCGCTATAAAATTAATATCATACATAAATTTCAATAGATATCTTGTTTTAAGTTAGTGATGAAAGATGTTTTTCGACAATAAAATTTATATATAAATGATAATTTTAGGAAGATGTCTTTAATGGATACTTAAATGTAATAGTTGATATATATCATAAAGAGTAGTGAATAAAAATTACATATTAATAAAATTTAATATTTTTTTAGGAACGTGTTCAGAGTTATTCCGAAACATGGGAGGGAACGGTAACAGAACATATTTTGTTTCGACCAGAACAAAGATGGAACAGGAGTGTAAAAATGCCTTTGTTCAGGGTCCATGATAGTAAACGAAGACAACATAATTTTCTATTAAAACTTTATTTCGCAGACAAAAAATTTAAGAACGTATAATTTACTAATTTCAGCATCGAAATATATTTTCGAAACATAATCAATATGTTTTAAACCATAAATATGAACTCTAGATTTTTAGAAGAAAAACTTATGATGATGCGAAAGCTGTATTAATAGTTAAAGCTATTGGCTGAAGGTTGTACGTAGCAAAACTGGATTCAATTTGTTTTTAAAAATCATTTGAAATGCAATTGTAATATTGTATTACGAAATTCATCGTAAATTTAATTTATTAAGTAAACAAAATAAAATATTTGGGCTATTTAAAATTATGACCCAACTTCAGTTAATTTATTAAAATTATAACAAATTTAGAATTCTTTTTCACATAATAAATGAATTATTAAGAATAAAAATAAATTAGAGCTTTCAATGTATCGGTAAACGAAAACCATCTACATTATTATAATTATTTGGCCTTTTTATGATTTCGATAGATTCCTTTATTAGTCTAGGGAATTAGTTAAAATATTGTGATTATAATTTTAAAAATCAATATTATTGCATGATATCGTTGGGTTTCATGTTGCATTCTTATATCCCGACATATAAATCATCGCATGGGTTACATAGTATATGATATATACACACTCATTAAAATAATCCTTTTTGCTTAAGGAATTTTTGGGAGAGGGGAGAATGTTTAATTTGAGTTGGTTTGTAAACTTTATTTCCGATTTTATCAGTTATACCTTACATTTATTTTTGTAGACGATCTGATCGGGCTTGTAATTCAACACGTTCGACAATAGTCATTCTACACCAATGAATAGCTAATAAGGACTCGTATTTATAAATCAGTCTTTGGGCCATTTAATAATTTTTATAAACAGCATTGACAATTGGATGAGAAACCATGTAGACAAATCATTTATTATATATGACATACCATCAATTATTAAAATGGAGCTTACTAAAGCTACAACCCCCAAAAATATTCAAAATGGATTTTTAGCCTGTGTGATATATCCTTACAACCCTGATATATTCTCTGAAGATAGTTATTTAATATCTAATGATGATATATCAGAATTATTTATTATTCCTCTGGAAGTGGGAAAATTAGTTTATTGTGATGCTGAAAATGATTAAATAAATTCCACTCCTAGCCCTATGCCTACCACTTCTAATAATGAGTTATATAACTTAACATGTCCAAAAATACTTTTAATTCACAATCTATTGTACCACATCCAATTTTATATAGTAATAATATTATCAAAATAGACAAAGGGAAAAATAAATTTGAAATTTCACCTCATCACCATATGAAAAACTTAAATTAACAATATTAAAAAAACAATAAAAAGAAAACTAATGATGAATGGCTTTGCATAATATGCAATAAGGCATATTCAAAGAGCAAGAAAGATGAAGAGTGAATTGCTGCAATATGAAGAATAGGCTCATACTCAATGACAAATAACAATGATTTATCTGTTTGTTATTTATGTAAATAAAGATACTATAATTGTTTCAATTAAAAATTAATAAAATAGTTTTCATTATTGTTGTGTATTAATAATTGTCTAATTAAGTTTAACATCATGAATGATTAAATTATTAAAATAATTATTTTAACATAGATAATTAAAATAAAAATTTATAATTAAATAGATAGTGGTTAATTTTATATTGAAATAAGAATTTTTTAATAAAAAGATAATTAAGATATTATAAAGTAAAAATGAAGAAATATATAAGATAGGTCTTTTGCAAGTATTTCATATTTATAATAACATTCTTAAATAATATATTATGACCAGTTATCTCATAGTAAATTGCCAATCAATACATACTATATTTTGACTGAGGCAGAAAAACAACTTTCACATAACCTCATTATTTAGCTCATAAAATATTATAAATAGAGATTTAATTCAACTTTGATTTTATAGATTAATAATTAGACTACACATTGATATAAAATTTGTTTGGTTAAACCCAAATCTTAATAACTTTTTTTCAAAAAAAACAAAAACATGGGCATTCATAGCACATTTCCCCTAATAATATGGTCATCGTTTTACCAAATACATGGAAAGCTATGATCTTTAATTATCTGGAATTATATGACTTCAAGAGGTGTAGGGGGAGGCTGTGCTTTTCTGCTAGGAAATTATGAAATGTAGGAAAAATCTTATTAAATGAAGGAAACATATACTAAATAAATCGTGCGTATGGGTGATAGACAATAATTCGTTTGCCTTTTTAAATTAAACTTGTGTATTACCAGGGTCAAAGCGAGGAAAATTCGCGATAATAAAAAGCGTGATTGAAGGAAAGAATTACTCGACCATCATTCAATATATAGATAACCAATAAAAATTTGGGGATTAAATTTCCGGATTATCGAATGTGCATCAAATTTAATACTTTTCCAAAAAATTTTCACGATTCTTTTAATATCGTTACAAAAATAAAACACCGAGGGTAATTTTAAAAATAAATAATAAAGTTAATTAAGGTCGAGACTAAACTACAAAATAAACAACGATTTTTTTTTCAAAATCAAATATCATTCATTCATTGAATTCATTAAAAGAAAAATGAAAACACATTTAAAAACCAAGTTTAAATTTTTAAGCCTCGAATCAGATTTAAATCTTCATTATTAGTAAACCCAGACACAGAGTTAGGCAGTAGTAAGACTTGGTCGGGGCTCAACCAAAATAAAATATTTTAAATTTTAGGAACATTAATTGCTTCCTTAGTATTTTACATAAGAAATTTCAATTACATATCAGCAAGTAAAGAGATAAGATTCGTAGAGCAGATTCGATATTAAGATTATAAATGTTTTTTTAATTTTAAGCCTGCATTTATTTATCAATATTGGATTTAAAATCGTGTTTTTTTGTCAGGGAAGCAATTTGGGCGAGGAGGTAAAGAAAAGAGGATTGTTTGTGGCATCTTTAATGTGCTGGATCAGATTTTTTGATTGAACTTAGTGGGGGTTGAAGGATTTGGTATGAAAATGTGAAGAGAGAAATGCACGTGCTGTTGATTAAGAAGTGATGAGATGCATTTTGATAGAACTTTGGTCATGGCTTTCTTCCAACTAGTGTTGTTAAAACGCTGCGAGTCGCGACCCCGACTCAAAGTTCGGGTCGTTTTTTTCGACCTCGACCCAAAATATGGGTCGTTTTTTTCGACTCAGACTTTAAGTTTATTTTTTAAGGCAAATATGTAAAAATATATTTTGCAAACATGTTAAATTAAAATTTCATTGAAGATGTACCATAGGAAAGTGACAATTGTCATAATCGTCATTTTTGAACTTTATTAAGGCAAATGGGTAAAAATATATTTTGCAAACTTATTAAATTAAAATTTCATTAAAGATGTACCATAGGAAAGTGACAATTGTCATAATCGTCATTTTTGAACTTTTTTGATTTTTTTAAGGCAAATAAGTAAAAATATATTTTGTAAACATGTAAAATTAAAATTTCATTGAAGATGTACTATAGGAAAGTGACAATTGTCATAATCGTCATTTTTGAACTTTTTTTAAGGCAAATGGGTAAAAATTATTTTGTAAACATGTTAAATTAAATTTTCAGTAAAGATGTACCATAGGAAAGTGAGAATTATCATAATCGTCATTTTTTAACTTTTTCGAATTTTTTTTAGACAAATAGGTAAAAATATATTTTGCAAACATGTTAAATTAAAATATCGTTGAAGATGTACCATAGAAAAGTGACAATTGTCATAATCGTCATTTTTGAACTTTTTCCAATTTAATTGAAGCAGATAGATAAAAATATATACTGTAGACATGTTAAATCAATTTTTCAGTGATGAAAAACCTTGAAAAAATTTAAATAACCATGTTGATAATATTTTTGGAATATTTTGAAGAAAATGGTTAAAATATAAATTATAAACTAGTTAATTAAAATTTCAATAAAAGCCATAGAAAAGTGATAAAAGTCATAATTATTTTTAAAATCAAATAGTAAAAATCTTATTTGTAAAACATGTTATATTAATATTTTAGTGTAGAAGAACCCGAGAAAAAGATTCATGGTGCAAACTATCTCATATAAATACTTGTTTATTTTTGGAAAACTGATTTTATTTATAATTAGTATTTCAAAGCTTGTTTTTAAGAGTTT